ATCCATGATTATAATGTAACCATCACAACAACTCAATTCCCGACCCACAGTTAATGTACACTAAATGTGATATCTGATCTCTAATGATGAAAAACAGTATTCAACAGTAATTTTATAGAATCATTTATCTGAAGCTCGGGGTTTGGGGACCGGACAATAGCAGAATGGGGAAGAGAAGAGAAGAAACTTTTTTTTTTTTTCTTTCTTTCTTCCTTCCCATTCTTAAGCCCTGCACTCCGTGGTATGGGAAGGAGAAAATAAGACGAGGGCAAAGGATCCTAACGATGCTAAGGTTGTGTTATATATTTAGAAGAGGGTAGCAGGGAAACCTGGCTACAAAACTGGTAGTGAGAAATAGGGGTGGGAAAAGATTTTATGACTGATATAAATATTAGAGATAAAGTTAAAGGGAGACGAATGAAAAGGGGTAGAGGAAAGAAAAGAAAAATTGAGAATGAAAAAGACACAGGAGAAAGAGATCAGGTGGAGAGATACGGATATAAGGGAGAATTCCCTTCCCCTCTATAAACTATACCGGGAGAAAAAAGGCAGGAGGAAGAGAAACACATGTACACAGACCCGCTCATAAACGAGAAAAGGGCAAGATAAAGGAATAAAAGTATGGGGGTAAAATAAACAGGGCACGCGTGTGAATAGTGAAGAGTTTCTCTGGTGTGAGAAACTGAATTGTAAATAAGGTTCAGCATGTGTCATAGATAATGTGAAATGGGAAGAAAAGGTGCAAAGGGGAAGTGGGAAGGGGAGGGGGAAGGAAAGGGGAATGGAATTCATGTGAGAAAATGAAAAAAATGGAAACAAAGACTTTGTAGATAGGGGAGGGTGGAGGGGTTGAAGGGAGAGCAGGATATGGGGAAACACAAGAATGAAGATATGTTAGGTAAAGGTACAAATCCCCAGTGATGAATGTCATTATATTGTATACCTAAAATGTACAAATAAAAATTTTCTAAGTACGGAGGGGGGCATACAGAGAGAAAACAGCAAAGAGTCAAAAAATAAATGGTAAAATAGAAAATGAAAAAATAATACAAACAATAAGAAAAGACCATGTCCTATTGTTTTCATTGCATGGCTCTTTGACTCCGCCGAAGGTGAAGGAGCAGAGCTCAAACCAGGATGTGTTTCTGTTCATGCCGGAAGTCTGAGGTGGCAGCCCGTCCCTAGAGCAGTGCTGGGTGTAGAGGTCTGCTCACAGTGAGAACCTGATACCAATGTGGGCTTCCCATCCTGGGTAACTCGGACGAACCTGGCCTCTGACCGCGGGAACCAGCTCTGTGTTCACCAGCCCCTGCCTCTCTTTCCCGCCTCCACTCTGGGAATTTGGTGGGGTGAAGTAGTCCAGGGGCTGCCCCAACTCAAACACTCAGCCCTTCCCCGTACTGACGTCCCCACCAGCCACCAGCTGCTGACCACGAAGGCTGTTCCAGAAGCAGTGTCCCATCTGACTGCAGATGGCTTTCGTGGTCCTGATGCAGTTCTCCCGTTCTCTGTGAGCAAAAAAATTGCTAGTTTCGCCTTGCCTCCTAGCAGCAGCTGCCTGCCTTGCTGCATGGTCTCTCCACAGTGTGACTGATTTCTTCTGCGTCACTCAATCCTATTTTCTTCTCCTCTATCGGTTCCCGCGTGGTTCCCAGGTAACCTCCACTCACTTCAACTCCTCTCCTGGCTATTGGTTTCCAGACTCCAGACACTGTCCTGGAGAAGCTGAGTTCCTGAGAAGCATGGCACTGCTCCGCCATTTTGGGACCCAGACCACTTAATTTCTCAGCATTAAAACTCCATATAGGTGTTCTCATTTAATTCTCTCACAAAAATCATGGAAACCCAATGAACAGACACACACATAAAAGAATAAAAACAGGCTAGGAGGATTAAGTAAGTTGTCCGAGGTTTGTAAGAAGGAGAAGAGGCCAATCTGTCTGACCCCAGTCCACTTCTATGCATTTGGCTATCACACCTGAGGAAATGCACGTCTAGGTAGCCAAGGATGGTCCACTTGAGTTGGGGTTCTCTGCTGCTGCGGCCTATCACTCTAGTGCAGATCCGTTACTGGATTTAACATCTGGGGTTTGGTCTGCTTCGACCCAAGGGCTGAAAGACCAGATGCCTCCCTCCACTAGTCTGAAGACTTGTCTCTCCTGCCCCTCCTCACTTTGAATGGTCCCCTTGCCTCCTCTTTTCTACCTAGTAAGGACATTTTTAACTGATAACCCGGCTCTGCCAAGAAAGGACGCCCTCTTTGCTGAATAATTAAGAGCAGGAAATACCAACTCTATAAAAGGAAGTGAAAGAGTAAGAAGATCAAAGGCAATCTGGACAGCAGAAGTGGTAAGCCTGGGCTCAGGCAGCCCTCTGAGTCCAGCTGGATCCATGTTTGCTGCTTGGTATAGGTCAAAGCAGTGAGCAGGGAAGCAGGACCATGTGGCTGCCCCCAGCTCTGCTCCTCCTCGGTCTCCCAGGTGAGTGGGGATGGGCTGGGGGTGGGTGGCTGGGTCTTGGTCTTAGAGAAGCAGAGCAGCAGCAGAGGGTACCTGTCCCTGGAGGGGACCTGCTTTGTCCACCAAAATGAGGGGTGGTTTTGTTGATTCATTCTACAGAAGTGCACTGGGCCCTACATAATGCCCAGAGTGCATCAGGCCCTGAGGCTATGAAGGGAAAGGGAAATGGGACTGGCTGTTAAAGAAGATGTACACCAGAGATACTGGTGGGTGACGTATACTTTGGAAGAACCACCAAGGGCGGGACACAATGATATACCAGTGGGGATGTGCTAGGAGCAGAAAGCCGCTCCCACTGGGCGCGCTGGAGAAAGCGTCTCAGAGACTCGTCCTTCGCTACCCTTTAAAGGAAGCAGTCAGTCCTTCCAGCAAGCAGAAAGGGCACCCTAGCGACAGCACCATTGTGCAGAGCGGTGCAGGCTCAGGGAGGAGAGCGCATGAAGAAGAGGAGCTCCCAGTGCACAGGCTGCCTGCAGGGAGGTGGCTGGACTTGAGGGTGATAACAAATATACAATTAGGAGGGATAGGTGGGAATGTGACCCTCTTCATCCCAGCATCTGGCTACCCTAGAGGCTGAGCCGAAGGGCTGGGTGAGGCGCCTGGACACCCGTGCGCACATGCGCAGTGACTTCAAAGGCGCACACACGGGAATGTTGTCACACCCCATACACTCCATGCATATCCACGTCTCCGTGGTCACACACTCATGCCCATTCACTCTCACATGCACGCTGCTGCACTTACAGGGACGCAAAATGCCATACACTGAGATTCTTTCGACAAGGCTTTTGTGCCCGTGGGAAGGACCGAATCAAAGGAGAAAGCTTACATCTCAGAGTCACAACAAAATGAAAAACTAAAATGGAAAGAGCCTTCTGCTTTGAAAGCCTTTGGCTCTGTGCCCCAGAGTTCCGCCTCCACCACCCTCTTCTCTCAAACGAATTCTGTTGCTGTTATTCTATGAATTGAGCCTAGGGCCTTGGCTCTGGGCTGCCTTGCTGGCTCTTTTTGGCTTTTCGCTTTTGAGGCAGGGCCTCACTGAGTGAAGTTGCCCAGGCCTGCTTTGAATTTACACCCTGCCTTGGCCTCCATTTCTCACTCAGAGGCCCGAGCAATAGCTTCAACCATCCTTGTCCATGTTTACAACCGCCACAAACACACACAGACACACACACACACACACACACACACACACACACACACACACACAAAGGGCCCAACCACATTGTGAGTGCCTTACAGTCACATTCAATCATGGGTGCTGGGCTTGATGGGGCATCTACGACAATGCCTCTATTTGTCTTTTCTGCTGCTTGTGATGGCTGCAAACATAATCTGTATTGAACCTCTCCTCTCCACTGTAACTCGGTTATTTTTCTTTTAGGAACAAACTTGCCCCTCTTTACCTGCATTTGATTTTGGTTTGCAGCAGTTGCTGGTTTTTAACAACTCTTCTTCTAGTTTACTCATTTTTTTTATTGTTCAGATCTTTTTCTTACTCTTGCATCTATTAACGCCCTCACAAACATTTATACACAATAGAAACGTATGATTTTGAAAGAGAAATTTCCCCCGTAAAACCCAATCTCAGGACTAACCACTGTTAAAAGTTTCAAACATATGTTTTCAATGTATTTACTATAGAAATGCAATCACATATAGTCTGTTAGGCAACTTTTTTGTTTATTTTTGTGTGTGTGTGTGTGTGTATGTTTTTGAGACAGGGTCTCACTGTGTATTTGAGACTGACCTAGAACTCACTATGTAGCCCAGGCTGGTCTTGAACTTACAGCGATCCTCCTGCCTCAGCCTCCCAAGTGCTGGGATTACAGGTGTGCGCCACCACTCCTGGCTGTTAGGCAGCTTTTAAAGGAACCTAATAATAATAATAATACATCTCAGACCTGACTCCTATCACTGTCTGAAAATGTGTCTTTCTTTTCCCCAGTAGTGGGGATTGAACATAGGGAATTCTACCACTGAGCTATACCCCCAGCCCATTTTATATTTTATTTTTGAGATAGGTTCTTGCTAAATTCCCCGGCCGACCTTAAACTTTCCATCTTCCTGCTTTTGTCTCCCAAGCAGCTGGGGTGACAGGTATGTGCCACCACACCTGGCTGTCATTTTTTTTTTTTTAGCCATGCTGTAGGTGGACCATAACTTATTGGTTTAATTCCCTGTTAATGGCCTTTGCATTTTTCCGATGGTTACTGTTATATCAGTACTTCAACTAACATCCTGTATGGCACCCTCCACTGCTGCAGAAACTGTAGCTAATCCTAGAATTTAAATGATTATGGCCAAGAACATGGTGACCTGCTTCTTTTCCAAAACAATCTCTAATGCTGCTGGTATCTACCATGATCCAGACACTGAGCAAGACCATGGGGCTGGGAGTAGAAGAGGGAGAAGGAGAGGAAGAGGGAGAGGGAGAGAGAGAATAATAAAGAAAGGAGTCTGGTTTTTGCGCAACATCCTGGCAAGGAAGACAGGAAAGGAGAAGCTAATTGAAATAAAATACCAATGCAAAGTCCAGGACCTGAAGGAAGGGCCGGGGCAGAGGTGGCAGCAGCAGGAGGTGCCGGTGTGAGGAAGCCTGTGAGCGCCCAGAGCCTGTTCCTCGGAGGAGGTGAGGAAGGTGACTGGGAGGAGGGCAGGCATGGAGGCGCGCTCACAGGCAGGGTGCGGTACGGGAGGGCACATCAGGAGGGCAAGATAAAAGTGGAGGCAGCTCTTAGAGTCTGAGCCAAGGAGGAACAGGGAATGATGCTGGACAGGAAGTAGGCATCAGCAGGACATCAGACAAGGTCCTGACCCACTGATGGGCAGTTGCTGACAAAACACCCCCTAAATATATTGGACACATATCTAAGTTTTGTAACAACCTGCATGAGGGAGATAGCAGCATTGTCGTTTTATAAATAAGGAAGTAAAACTTGGAGAAGTTAAGCAACTCATCCAAGGTTTCCCAACTAGTCTGTGATAGACCCATCTCTCTGCATGCAAAGTTCGTGCTTTCTGCTTGATCATGCTGTCCCTGCAGAATGCAACAGCAGAGGCCAAAGCAAGATCATTGTGAGGTGCGCTTGCAAGGTACTGAAATCTTTTGCAGAGAGCACAGGACCCACGGGGATGCCAAGTTCTCCAGGGAGGCTGGGGAGTAACTGCTGGTCTGAAGATCACAAAGCTGGTTCTGCCGGTTGAATAACATATGAATTTCCCATGGCTGCTATAACAAATTACCAGCAACTCAGCCATTTACACCAACAATATGAATTCATGATCTTACTGTTCTGAAGAAATGATCTTTTCTGAAATGGTCTTCTTGGCCAATAGCAGGTTGTGTTTCTTCTGAGGCTGTGAGGGACCATCTGCTTCCTTGCCTTTTTCAGAAGCCCTGGGCTTTCCGTGGCCCATGACCCCTCCTCCATCTTCAAAGCCAGTAACAGATCATCGTTAAACCTGTCTTTTTTTTTTTATTTGGTATTGGACATTGAACTCAGTGCCTGACCTTTGCCAGGCGGATGCTGTGCTGCTGAGCTACATTCCCAGCACCTGTCTTTTAACTTTTCCACTTATAAGGACCCAGTGGATAATACAGGGTCATCTCCTTGTCTCTATGTCTTTAATGTGCAGAACATATTCATAAGTTCAGAGTATGAGGATGTCAACATCTAGGTGGGGCATTATTGTGCTGACCACAAATGCAAATCTCAAGTCAGTTGAAATAGTGCAGGGAGAAGGTCCAGAGGATGACAATGTGGCACCTTCATACCTGCTCTTTACTGAGACTTCCAGCCGGAGCCTCTAGAAAGAGGACACGTAGAGGAGTAGGTGGGCTGGGAGAGGCAGTGCCTTCAGTTCCGTGCCTACTGGGTGGGGGAGAGATATCTGTGCGCGTCTATAAACGGAGGGCTGGAGCAAAGGGGAGAATTTGAGCTATGAGTATGGGGGATCTGGGGTGTAGGCAACACCTGAGGCCATGGCAGTGGAGGAATCCCTCTCTGGGGACAGAGGTGAGACAAGCTGCAGGCTGGAATGAGACCCTGGGCTTCCCTGTGACGTATGAAAGCTGACTTATCCTGGCTCACAAGAGTAGGTTGTGGGCAGCTCTGCTCAGTGTGTCCAGGGCCAACACATCAGTAACCTGTCACCGGCCATGATGGGAGCATTTACACCTGGAGATTGGCAAAATGTTACGAGCCACAGATTCTTTTTTTCCCCCACAGATAGCTGGTGTTAAATATTTACGAAAGCACGACCAGCCATACCAAGAGAACTGGTTGAAGCCTCAGGGGCAGAGTAGACCGGGAAGGAAGAGATCAGAGGAGCACAGCATTGAGAAAATCAGAAGTGACACGAGCCTAGGGAAGGGAGGTCTGGGAGCCCAAGCATCTCACAGAGAGGTTACAGAAGGCTGGACCTCAGAGGAAGTGGGTGCAAAGAGCCAGGTGTGTCGGGGTGAGTGGAGTAGCTGGGACCCTCATCCAAGCTCTGCACATCGGCCTAGCTCAGGGTGACAGGAGCTATACTTGGTGATTCTATTTTCCAGGTTGTTTCTCCCTCCAAGGCCCAGAGTCTGTGAGAGGCTTAGCAGGAGGGTCTGTGACGGTTCAGTGTCACTATAGCAGAAGATGGAAGACCTACAATAAATGGTGGTGTCGAGGAGCAAGCTGGTATGTGTGTGAGATCCTGGTTAAAACCAGAGGGTCCGAGCAAGAAGAGAGGAGTGGCCGGGTGTCCATCAGGGATGATCCGAGAGCTCAGACATTCCAGGTGACCATGGAGAGGCTCAGGCAAGATGACGCGGACACTTACTGGTGTGGGATTGAGAGAAGTGGAACTGACCTTGGGACATCAGTGAAAGTGGCCGTTGACCCAGGTAAGAACTTGCTCATCTGTACCGCCAGGCCCTGGGGCTTAAGATGGAAAAAGTCAGTGCGTGTTTCCCCTCCCACCAAGGGCTGGAGGGAACTGACTAGCAGCCTAGGAGATAGAGAGACAGACAAGCAGGCGGGCAGACAGATGGGGGAGAGTTGAGAGCAGCAAGGAAGAGCAATTGCCGAGCACATTGGGCGTCTCCATCCCTGAGGGTGTCTGAGTATCCAGCTGACACAGGGCAGGGCTGGTAGATCTTGGGATGGGGACAGGATACGGGCCTGTCTTTCAGCAGCCCATGGCCCAGTTCTACTGTTCTGGGGCTACACAGTCCTAGCAATTTCATTCTCCCCTTGGAGCTCCGGGTAGGCCTTGGCTGCTTGGTGAGGGTCCCAGGGCATCAGTCTAGGGAATGGCTAGTCTCCTGGAACCCATACCCTCCCTAGTTCTGTTCTGACATGGGACAGTGGGGAGCTGGGACAACCCAAAGGGTCCAGTGTTGACTCCCCCAGGCCTGCAACCCACAATGCTGCTGAGTGTTCTATAGCATCTCTCCCATCTGGGTCCCTGCTTCTAACTCGCTGCAGAAGAGTGAGTTAGGAGTAAAGAACCAGGGAGGTTCTCACATAGCTATAAAGGAAGGCTTTGCTTGGAAATCAACATCAGGGAGCTCTCTGGCTGCCTGGCACCTCCTTCATGCCTCAGGCCCTCCAGAGGCTCCAGATTCTTCCTGTTGCTGCTGCTGGTACCTGAGGATGAGCACTCTGCTTCTATCTAGCTCATTGGTGCCCAGCCATCCTCAGACCCATGTCCATGCGGGCGATGGTTGATGGGCACATAGATGCTGTTGGCTTTCAGATAAGCCCATGAGTTGTTAGAGTTGAAACCATTGAGGGCTGCCCGGGCTGCCCTTGGGTTAAGCGGGTCCAGAAAGGGTTCCCCAAGAAAGGCTTCTCCAAAGCTACCGTGTAGGGGAAGTTCGAAAGGTCTCTGGAGACCGGAAGGGGATTGGGTAAGACATGTGGGCAAGGGATAGAGAAGTAAAAATTATGCCCAGTGTGGGGCTTTAAAAAGAAGGCATTTAGGGGTCCTGTTGGGGTCCATAAAACCACCAGCCTATGTGGCAATCAGGGGCCTCCACAGGAGCTGTTAGGATTAGAATGCCAATATCTGGAGCTCAGCTGGAGGCTGCCTGGTGAGATGGCAGCTAGGGAACTTTGGGAAAGAGCTTGCCATAGCAGGGACTAAAATAAAGGATAACTACAAGCCAGGTGTGATGGCGGCACACACCTGTGCTGGGAGGCTGAGGCAGGAGGATCCCAAGTTCAAGCCCAGCCTGTGCAGTTTAGCAATTTATTCAGATCCCATCTCAAAAAACAAAACAAAACAAAACAAAAAAAATGCTGGGGATATAATTTAGCAAGAAAGTCCTGAGTTCAATACCTAGTACTGGGGAAAAAAAAAAAAAAAGCTACAGGTCAGGAATGCTCAAGGCCAAGAGGGTGTCAGGAGTCTATGATAAAACTGCTCACCATAATTCATCTCATACAAAATCTTCCATTCCCCATAGTTGTTCACCAGTTAACCGGAATACACCCTCTACTACTCACCAGAGCCCCACTCTCTGATCACCCTAATCACTGGGCACCCCATCTTCAGAATCTTCTGTCCTTGAGCCCAGCTTGGGTTCCACCTGAGTGGAAAGGACCAGGGATTTTATTTTCTGCATCACTGAGTGGAAAGAGGCTATGAATAAACCATGGTGATTTTTTTTTCTATTTAATGTTTATTTCTCCTTGCACTCTTAAAAATGATGGGAGGAAATGATCATGCGCTAGGTGTCAGATGACTCGGTAGAAGCCCAAGGAGCTGTATTTGAAGAGATGAAGCTTTGCAGTCCAGCGCAGAGGTGTCTCCTGATGAGGGCTCCTGGGGTGGGATTGCATTAGAGTCATGACTAAGTCCCCAGGCTGTACCACTCACCTGTGGCCAACTCTGCCTGTGTCTAGCGGGAACAGTCACCATGTCCTCCAAACCACTGGCTGGATCTAGTGAGGACAGCAGCATGGGGGTGTCCTCTGGGTCCTACAGAAGGTAAGGCCCTCAGCTCCTTTATTCTGCTACCCTACCTGGGCTTCTGCCATGGGACCCAAGCCCGAGGACTCTGCCTGTTTCTGTCACCGATGCCAGCCCCAAGCCCACTCTCCACCCCTGAAGTCCCTCACCCACCACCTCCCCATGGAGTGCTCACTGGAAAAACCCTGGGCAGAGCTCTCCTCTCTAAACATCACCAATCGGTGGTGGCCTTCTGGGTGCCAGGGAAGATAAGGTACCAATCTCCGTGATTCAAGACATCACGGGACACAGAGCAAGGAGAGCAACTGGTCAACGTGGAGATGGCATTAGGGGGACAAAGGCGGGAAAACATAGCCCGCATGTGGTGACCTCCAGGTTTCTTTTGAACTGAGATCTATGAGATGCGATAGAAAAATATATTGCGTGTTTATATTCTTAAAAATTTAGTAGAGTAAAAGACGCACTGCCCGTAATCCCTCTTGGAATACTCCCCCTCACTTAAAACACACTTATCCCACTGTTCTTGCTGTTTTCTGGAGCGGTTCTGGGAGTCCTGTTGCGTGAGTGTCTTGTGCTGCCACGCCTGCCTTAATGTCCTGAACCGACTCACATCGGTTATCTTTCACGGCCATTTTGATTTGGGGGAGGAGCCGGAAGTCACGTGGCACAGGAAGTGCAATGAGGACACACTGTCGTGTTTCTTACAAGCTTGCCTTTCTATTTCAATGGCACTTGGCAGCCACATTCACTATATATTTTTTTTAATCACAGTTTGCAAAGACATTCACAAAAGATGACTTCCGGAATTGCTTTTGAGAGTGGCAAGAACCATGCAGTAAGTGTGTTTGAAGTGAGGGGGATTAATGCCAATGTGTCTTTTACTCTAGCGAATTCTTTTGTATTTAAACATTCACTGTAGTTTTAGATCTTCCTTGTAGTTTGGTGAGGGGAAGTCCCAGAAATAAAATTAGAAAGGAAGAAGTGCTCGTACAAGACCGGCTGAGGTTACATCCAAGGAGCCCTCAGGGTTGGATCATGAGCAAGACTCCTGGGAGGTCTTCAGAGTGGGGCGGTGGGTGCAGGGTCTCTGACTCTGAAGCTGGCTGTCAGCTCACGGTGCCCGGGATAGGGAGTGACAGAGGGAGGGGCCCAGGGCTCTGACGGCTGTTCCTCTCACAGGACCCACTACATACTCCTGGTGTTTGTGAAGGTGCCCATCTTGCTCATCTTGGTTGGTGCAGTCCTCTGGTTGAAGGGGCCACAGAGGGTCCCCGAGGAGCAGTGGGAACACCCTACCTGTGTGAATTTGAACTCAGAACTTTTGACCAACGATAAGACTCCTTCGAGAGATGGATGTGCAGAGACTTCTCACCTTGGAGCAGAGAAGAGGGCCCTGGAAAAAAAAACCCTATATCCTGAGGGCACAGCAAATGGCCACACGTGGAGAGCTGGCTAGACTCCTCCACTCTGCCCAGCTCAGAGCCATCGTGGGCACCTGCAGGGCCAGCAGCCTGCTCCCATTTCTTCGGGCGGCAGACACCCCGTGTCGCCAGGGGCAGCTCATGGCCAGGGGCCGCTGAGACAGAGCCCAGCCTTGCATGGCCATGTCCTGTGCTGGGAAAACTCAGGCAGAGCCTAGATGAAAGCGCAGGCGAGAGGTGGAAAGACCAGCTCACCGCCCTCCCTGCCTGAGTGCCTGAAGTAGGATTTTAGAAACTCATTTTTTCCTTCAGTTGGTCTGGTTGGGTTTTGATGGCTCATGGCCACGAGCCTCTGACTAAGGCCCGGTCCTCCTCCAGGGGCTGGTTCTGTGGCGAGTCCCTGGTTCTGGGGCACGAGTTTGGGTGTCCCCTCCTCCGAGGAGGACAGGGCTCTGAGTCCACACTGCTGGAGCGATGGCTTCCTCTCCCTCCTCCTCCTCTTCCCCATCCTCCCACACACCTCTTCTCTCCCTTCTCTCCCTCCTCCTCTTCCTCCTTCTCTCCCTCCTCCTCTTCCTCGGGGTTGACCTGAGCCCCTGCCATGAGCACAGCTGCTGGGGCTTCTCCTCAAAGACCCCACTGAACCTTGGGAGCCCCCTCAAGTTGGGGGTGTGGATAATGAAAATTATCCCGGGGGAATGATGCTGTCTCTTAAATAAAGCTTTTAGAAAAATAATTCAGTAATTTAAAAGTCTGAGAGAAGAGACATCTGTAAGGCCTCACCCACAGCAACAACACTTCTGAATAGGTTGCTTAGTGCCATGAGGGTCAGGGGCCTTCACTGCAGAGAGAGCTTCTCTTCACGTGAGGAGAAACAGGCCCACCAAGATGTGTCCCCCGCACCTGAGCACAAACCCCTGTCCAACCGCACAGGTTCGGTTCCCCATGCCCACCCTGCTCTTCGTCAGGACAGTGGGCAGCAAGGGGCTGGTGCCATGGGAGGGGACCAAGGAGAGGGTGCACCTGATCCTGGCTTGGGATCTGGAGCCTGCTCTCCCACCAAGACTGTGAGCCCCTCTTGTCCTTCAGCGAAGCGAGTTTTCTCTGCGTTTGAGTTTGGTGCAGGGCTCTGGCCCATGAGGAGCCCAGAAGGAGAGAGAGGGAGCCTGGATGAGGTATTGGGTCATTGTGTTGGGGATCTGGGCCCACCGTCCACTGGCTGCAGATGCTTGCCCCATGACCAGGCCCTGGGTCCAGCTGCCTGAGACCCAGCGATGCAGGGCTGACAGGGCGGCTCTGGGGATCCCTGCCGTCCAGGATGTGGAGGGGCCCAGCCATTTCTGACTGAGGAACTGGGGAATCCCTGTTCTCTGTGGAAGCAGTAAGCTGAGTTCTCCTCCTACTATAGGCAGCTATGTCAGGTAGGAATAAATACACAGTCAGAGAAGGATTGGACGGACCCTCAAGGAAGTCAGCACAAAAACCGGAGACGTTGGAATTGTGTCTGGGGCAAATCTGAAGAGAGCCTCAGGGTAGAGATGAGCTAGCCAGGCCTTCGAGATAGACAGCAACCTGAGATTGCACTGTAATCGGCACCACCTGGTCCAATGGGCCCAGACAGGCTTCAGGCCCATGGGTGGGTGACCGGAATGTCTGGACCCATACTCCTCTCCCTTCCCCCAAACGCCTTAGTTCTTTGCACATAGCCTCACTACCTGCCTTGTTTAACTACTGGGTCAATATGAGCTGGATGGCTATACAGTAGATTGATTGTAGTCTGTCCCGTGCTGTTCGCACATTGTGATTTGGCTGTACAAATCGCCCCTGAGAAAGGGCCTTGGAGGCCACCCAGTTGGAACCCCTCCTGTCTCTCAGGAGCTTTTCCTTACTAAACCTTTCCTACTCTCGACCTCCTTTGTCCCTTGTAATTTATTCTTTGATACTCAGAGGACAAGAACTTGGGACATCTGGTCTCTAGCAGGTCAGGAGTTATATTTTTCTGATCTCGCTCCTACCACCCCAGAGAAGCCACTGAACTTCTCAGAAGTACCCTGGAGTTCCCAGGAAAGCTGATGGACAAAGCTCGCTAACAGGCCCCTCTCTTGGGCAGAGGGAACACAGAGATCAATGAACAGGAGTTGGGCCTGCATTTTCCAGCTGATGTGTTTTGATTAGGTGCCTGGAGCCGAAGGCCACAGGCCTTGAACGTCTTCTGACGAGAATCTAAAGTTAGTAAACGAAGAGCAGGGCAGAGGGTAGAACTTCTCCTCCATGAGCTCCTCCCCCGCACACCACCTCCAGACACGCACACACACACACACACACACACACACCTGGCATGGGAAGTACACTTGAAGGGGAGCTGTGAGGAATGGGGAGCAGCAGCAGCAGCCAGGAAAGTAACAGTAGTGAGGGCCCCCACCAGAGCCTAGGGCCCAGGGTCTTTTTTTTTTTTTCTTTTTTTCTTTTCAGTGCTGGAGATCAAGTCCAGGGCCTCAGACATGGTAGGCAAGCACTCCTCTACCACCGAGTTACACCCCAGCCTTTTTTACTTTACTTTGAGGCAGGGTCTTGCTAAGTTTCCCAGCACAGTGACTCCCAACTCACCATCCTCCTGCCTCAGCCTCCTGCAGTGAATGACTGGGATTACAGGTGTGTGACCCTCATGCTCAGTTCTCCTTTTACCTACAGGAAAAAGAACTAACAAACATAGTGACAAATATCTGTAATCTTGGCACTCAGAGGCTAAGGCGGGAGGAGCACAAATTCAAGCTCAGCGTGAGGGCGATTTTGTGCCACACGGGAGGCCCAGGGAACACAGAGCCTCCTGCCCCTTGACAGCCCCCAGCCTCCACCACGTCACTCGTTGCTTCTACCGATAGGGAAAACTTTTATAAATAGCAAAAACCCATAACGTGTTACCATGTAAAATGGCTTCTGCTGTCTCTAACAGCAGTTCGTTTCACTCAGAACTAAAAGGCACCAAAGGCACTAATTGCTGAATGAGGCATTCGGTCTGACCCTGAGATAACAGGGCACAGCAAGGCCCTGAGCTCCAAGGAGACTGGAGCCACGTGATCGTGTGAGTGTCTGGATGAAAGAACCCATTTCTAGCATTTGCTCCCCTGACCCTGAATATCCCCCTTCCTGTGGACTACAATAGATACCTAGGCGAATCTTAAAGGTAAACTCCCCAACTGAAAAGAACTGTTACGTCTGGGTTGAAAAGATTAACTATTCTGTGACCGTGATTTGAACTGTGAGAATGGAATGTAACCACCCAAATGAAGTCAAGGCTGTAAAACCTTATAAAAGGAGGAGTTATAACCCAGTGCATTGTCGATCCAGGCACAGCATATGTGCGATCCACCCTTATTGATGAGTAGATTTGTTATTTTACTTCTGATCTGCTGCCTCTCTGTGTGTCACTTACTGACTCCTTCTGTAACACTATGAGCTGGATTACTTTGGCTATGACACCTAAATGGAATCATGTGGCGTTTGTCCTGTGCCTGGTCCCTTTTACCTAGATAGTGTCTGTCCTCAGGGCTCGCCCACCCTGTATATATGACAGTATTCCTTCCCGTGGTACCTTTATGCCTTTCTCCACCGACGGACGCTCAGCCTGTCTCTCTACCTCTTGTTATCGTGGATAATGTTGCAAGAAACACAGAAGTGTTTCGAGATCCTGCTTTCGATTCTTTAGAATATACATCCAGAAGTGAGGTTTCTGAGTTACATGGCAGCTATATTTTTTTACTTCTGTTGCATAATCTTCACGCCATTTTCCACAATGGTGCCACCATCTTACATTCCCACCAACAATGCCCAAGATTCCAATTTCTCCACATCCTCCCCAGCAATTCCTAATTTTGTTCGTTTCTATGACAGCTATTCTACCAGGTGTGAAGTGGTATCTCACGGTTTTAATTTTTATTTCCCTGAAATTTGGAGATGTTGAGCGCCTTGTTTCATCTTTGGAGAGATGCCTCTTCAAGTTCTCTGCCTGTGGTTTTTTGTTGTTGTTGTTGTTTGTTTGCTTTGTTTTGTTTTTTGGTACTGGGGATGGAACTCAGGACCTTGTGAGGCAGGGGGCAGAACCACTGAGCTACATCCCTGGCCCACTTCTGCCTGTGTTTTAAATGGGTTGTTTGCTTTATTTCTTGTTGTGATTTAGGAGTTCTTTGTATATTCTAGGTGTGACCCTTTATCAGATATATGATTTACAAATATCTTCTCCATTCTCTGGGTTGCCTTTTAATGCACAAATTTAAAGGTTTTTTTTTTTTCCTCATAGTTCCATGTGTCTATTTTTCTTTCTTTGTTTTGGTAGTGGGGATTGAACTCCGGACCTTGCCCTTATGAGGCAGGCGATGCCACCACTGAGCTAAATCCCCGGCCTCGTGTCTATTTTTCTTTTGTTGCCTTTGATTTTGCTGTCATGTCCAAGAAATCATTGCCAAATACAAAAGTGTGAAGATTTTTGCCTTATGCTTTCTCTAGACGTTTTCTAGTTTTAGGTCTTACTGGTAAGGTCTTTGATCCTTTTGAGTTCATTTTTGTATATGGTATCAGATAAGAGTCTAACATCATTCTTTTGTATATGGGTGTCTAGTTTTCCAGTGACTGTATTCTAACCATTTCCCATTGCTTGTGGGTGGCAATTTGGGGTCCCCCATTTTACCAGGAGGCGACCCTGTAAGTATTTTGGTTGTGAGTGGTGTCTGAGATACAGCTCCTCACTTTGAGTGGTCTGAGCACCCTGTTCCCCGGGCTGTGTGCGTCACCGCCAAATGCTGGCCTCCCCCTAAGGACACTGCTTCCTTCCTGGTTTCACTGTTAACTACTCATTTTGGCTTTTTGTCGTTTTGCTTTGCCGTTGAGGGTATCCTGGATATTTGTTGATGCAAGATCCCCTTCAGTTCTCTGCCTCGTGATTGTCTTCACCCTCCTGGATCCAAAGAAGCACATAGCACATGGTCATGACCTTGGGGACTATATCTGGTCCTTGGTCCTTCCTCTCTGGGTGTTTCCCTGCTTCTGTACTTTCCATGTCCTTCCGCCATGAAATTCTGCCTCACGTCGGGGCCTGTGGCGATGGAAACAGCCATGGACTGAAAGCTCTGAAACTGTGAACCAAAATATATCTTTCCTTCTGTAAATTGCTAGTCTCAGCTGTTTTTGTCATAGCAGCGAATGGGCCACCTAACACACCTTCTTAACTTAGCTGTTGTACTGTGGCCGCTAGAAAATTTAAAATTACATGGGATTCCCTTATCCTACTGGAGACCACTGGGCTGCACCCCACCTGGGACCAGGATTATCTGCCTTTTACAAATAAGTTGATGCAGGTGCTGGGGGGATCCTGAGGCTGCCCCTCTTCTCTCCTTCTTGGCCTCCTGCCGCAGCAGGGATCCGGTGGGAGGGCTTGTCCTGTTCTCAAGATAAGGAAGATCGGGAGGAGATGGCGCTGATACAGGAGCTCATCACTACGCATACACAGTGTCTGCTGCAGGCAGGGCCCTGAGCAGGGCTGGGCATGAAACACCAACCTTGTCCTCAAAGACCTCACACCCACAAATCAGCCCCATTCCAGGGCCAGGCACTCGAGGTGGGTCATGCACAAGACACTGTGAAGGCGGCTGCCGAGGAGGAACAGCCTTCAAATCTCAGGAAGACCATCAAGGCCTTCAAAAGGTGGGGCATTTCACCTGGGAATGGAAGGAGAGCAGGAGTCCCCTGAGTAGAGAAGGAAGGAGGGCACTTCCAGTCAGAGGGGTGCATGCATGGGATGAAAGGACATGGGAAGTGGGGGAGACTCCTCAGGGGAGTGGGAGGAGGGGACATAAGGACACATAAATGATTGGGTCAGACAGTTAAGCGCATTAAAAGCCACTAAGAAGACCAAGAACTTCTGCGAATAAAATCAGGAAGGGCGTGATAGCACCTTCTCGTCTTTCCTCCCTTGGACAACTCTTTTAGATTCCATAATAGTAATAATTATAAAAAGGTTTTATGTGAAAAAACAAAATAAGAGATGGAATGGGCTCGCGCAGTATTTTTCTCAGACTGTGCTGTAAGGCACCCTGTGAAAGCCTGGGCAATGATGGTCTCAGCACAGACACAGCTGGGAGCTGGGCCCTGAATAATGGAAGCAAAAGAGGTGTTTGTGGGATCAACACGCTGCATTCCAGCCAGAGTTCAGCTCCGGCCTTCCCTCCTGGCCCCCTTTTCTGGTTTTCTGGCCCCTGTCTTCCCCATGCCACATATACCT